AATAGTAGCAATGGCAGCAGCACCAAATGTACCAACAAGCAACACGCCAAACAATTGCATGTTTCTGTGAAACTTTAAATAAAACGTGGTATGTTTGTAATATCTCATAACGTAAATCGAGACTGGAAAGATTATACTGTAAATATACAAATATTATCAGTATTGGTTAATTGATAACATCACATCATTTAAACAATCTCAAGGAAAAAACTCGACTCACCACCAAATTATAGCCATTCCAAATCCATGAGCCAATCTGGTCTGCCGTTGTCTTTCCGGAGAAGCTGCTATGGCTGCATCTTGTATGCTTATAACCTGGCCGAGAGCAAAGTCAATAATCTGTCTAACTCTATTTCTGGATCCGTGGTATGTAACAACGTCGGTCGTAGGGTTGAAAGCCATGACTACTTTCATTTGCCCTTCTACGATCTCCTTTCTGCCTGGACTGGCTGCAGCGATGGGTCGATTGAATTCAATATTGTAAACGGTCCCATTAAGTGTCGTGCTGGTTAATGCAAAGTCATGATGATCCGAATCGAGAACTGGCGGTTGGTATCCTTTGGAAATGTAATTCCCTAAACTGGCCGAACCAGATGACACCTTGCATATGATAAAATCGGCGTTTGTCATTCCATCATCGGACGGTCCAAAGCCTATACCAAACCAGCCATTTCCGTTTTCAGTTGCAAAAGTGATTAAAAATTGTAGGGTCTTATCCTTGATACCAAAGCGTACTTTATATTCTGGCCATCTAGTCATGTCTCCTGGATATGGATCGGTTATTGTAGCTGTCGGATTTGGTGCATTAGTGACACTATTATCAACTGGTGGCAAAACAGTCCAAATGCTTCCCGGAAATGTTATGTCCTGCGGTAGTTCATCCGGTGACAAATTATCGATAATGACATCTCTAAAGGTTCTTTTACGGAACGTCTGTTGCTCATCTGCGCTGAAATAATTCTGAAACCAGAATCGGTCAGTAACGCGATAGCGATCAAACTGCCGGACGAGAGCCGTGTAGACAAGCTCCCCAACATTGGCACCCTCAATGTGATCTTCAGCATGTGCACAGGCAAACGCTTCGCACTTGTCAACAGTGCCATAGGTTGCTTGGAGTCTGGCTGCAATTTCTGCATTTGAGGTGACTTCGGCAAACGATGTTTTACGTGTAAGGTTGAAACCTGCCCGGGCGTCGTTGTAGAGAGGGATACCTATCATCACCGAGAATGAATAGTTAGTAATAGGAATAGAATGCTAATTCTTCGCAAACCAACCTGATCTGGTAAAGTTTGCCACAATATATCAGTCGGATTGCGCTATTTGTTCAAACTCACCAAGATCTCTGCCTCTCGAAACATCAAATGCCGCAACCTCGTACTTTAGCTTATT